GAATTAAGCCAGGCTTTACAAAGCCGGTGACCTAAAAATGGCGGACGTACATGAAAGAAAAACCGCCTAATCTTTTAATAGTCTCTCCGCCTCTCACACGCCTCCCCACACGTCGTCCCTGCGGGGTACAGTAATTAAATCTCGGCTCCGAACATTAATATTTCCGTGAATATCTCTGGTGATATTATCTCCGTAGATAGTCGATTCATTGCTGCTCTACGGGCCAAATTATTTCTTTTTCGTCTCTGTTTTCAAAGATAATAGAACAGAAGAGCTTTTTTCCTTCGATCGCCTTTAGCCGCCATGCTTTCTTCACCACGAGTTTAACTGATGAGCATGCACACTTAATATTTCTCAGGTAGCTTCCGCATGGCGAACGGAGCCGAGATTTAATTACTGTACCCCGCAGGGACGACGTGTGGGGAGGCGGAGAGACTATTAAAAGATTAGGCGTTTTTTCTTTCATGTACGTCCGCCATTTTTAGGTCACCGGCTTTGTAAAGCCTGGCTTAATTCGTTGAGAATGCGCTCTATGTATATACTTGTAAGAAGTACATGTACATTGTACATGTATACAGTACATGTGCATGGTGGTGCATTTAATACTAGTAAACACATCCCTACTAGAACTTACAAGGTCAAGATAGACCCCATCTCTCTCTTTCTCTCTCTTCAAGCAATGTTACAGTATACATGTACATGTACAGTGTATACTACTTCAGGCAGCAGTTACATGTACAGTACTAGTACTATGACCGGTTTACAAAAATTAGAAGTAGAACTCTGAACGGCGATGACACAAACTTACCAATATAATTTCATAGACAGTATATTGTCTACAGCATTATCTTACAACTGTCACTGTGTTTCACTGATCTGCAGTGACACCCGTATATCATTAGTATTTATCATCTCGACCTGCTGAGTCAGCAGCTGAGTTTAGAACATTACGGTAAACTCGCATATAAACAACGGGGCTGCAAAACAATTACGAAGATTTATATTTAGTGATCATCCGTCTGTCTGTCGCTATTTATTCATTAGTACAGTGGTAAAATTAAGGTGTGGCACTTACTATAAGACAGGGACGGCGCAGTAACCTAGTTTCATCTTTTTACTTCTGATTTGTTGACATCTTCAAATGGGTGCTTCAATCACCGATACTACCGATGTCTGGCCGGAGTTCGCCAAGATAAGCCAAGCGTTTCATGCACTTGCTCACCTGAGCTGGGTCACTGTCTGCCGTGATCTGAATACTGTCTATGTGTTTACACCTATGGTAATGGCTCAATCATTTCAACTGGGCAAAATTCTCAATTTTTCAGATACATAATTATGGAATCATTTTGTTGTTTTTACTTATAGAATAGAACTATTCAGTATAGTCTGCTTTTCAACTGTGTTTCTACCACCCAAAAGGAATGTTCTAATTTTAATAATTAATTGCATAAAATTGAAATACAGTACGTATCTGTAAAATTCACAGTTTTCCCGGTTGAAATGATCGAGTCATTACCGACTGTATCCTGATCCAATCTCCTTAATTTCCACATTAGTTTTGGGCACTACCACATTGGCACAATCCCTTACCAAACATTTCCACTTATATTATATTAAGTTAATTTAAAAATACTCCCCATCACTCAATTTAACAGACTCAACACTTAATCATCATTATACTCACTCAGGTAGGCTAAATGATGATTTATCAGGGGCGGATCCAGGATTATTTGAAGGGGGGGGGGGGGGGTGTCCGTGTATGACTTCCTATTCAAGTTCAATTGTAACTATGGGCGTATCTCTGCTAATTTTGAAGTATTTCACATTTTATTTTTTATCACAGAGTATTGCGACGTTGTACTTTTTGAATTAGCGCAACTCCTAAACCGTATCGAAAACAAAAAATACGGACACCACTGCCAGTATTTCACTTGGCAATCTCTACAAAATGAGAAAAAAAAAACCAAAAAAACAAAGGGTCCCTCCCAGTGATAATGCACCCATTGAACTCAAATTTCCAAAGATCAAAGGAGTCCTTAATTGTAACCCCTCACTATAATACTACCCTGAGTGTCAGAGCAACGTAAAAGCTAGCTTGCTATTACCTTGTGGTGGAGTCGCTTTTATTGCTACTATGGGTTATATATGAAATCAAGATCGAGCTGGCAATACCGGAATCTAGAACCTAGGGTATATAACACGAGATCTTAGCTAGGTCTGTGTTGTTTTTGAAAATTGGCACAAACAAACATATTTTGCGGAAACACGTCATCTTTTAATTGTATTTTCGATTTACATTGCAAAAAAGGGGGCACATGTATACATGTACATGTAAAGTTACATATTGTGTATTAAGAGAGAGAGAGAGAGAGAGAGAGAGAGAGAGAGAGTAACATCATCCATGTTTGAGACGTAAAGAAATGTTTATAACGTAGCACATGTGCCAGCAAGCCCCGATAGAAATGTATTTGAGACGTTTCTACTTTGACAAGAGTTGTAAAAATTTGTATTTTAGACTTCATCCAAAGGGGCTATAAAAATATGTCTTGTAAATAATTTGAATTCATTGCGTGATAAGCAGGTCAAGCATCCTCAGTAATTTTTACAGTTCGCCATGGGCAAAACATGACATATGACAGCATATAAAATTTGGAAAGTGCATGTTATGCGTGGTATTTATAGGCTATTCACTCAGAGATGAGATCAGCAAGGAGACGCGGGGGTTACTGACCGGCAACGAGTCGGTAAGTAATACTGTACAATCGACTTCTCAGGGGTAGAAACTACAAAATTTAGCCGTAACTTTAACTAAGGTAAAATTGTAAGTCTGGCTTAATTAATGAGCAACGTGATGGTCCATTTGAATGATAATAGTTTTACTACAAAAACGAAAGAAATATAGAATGTTTAAGGTGGATAGTGAGATAGACTATAAGTTATTTTGTGTCAAAGGAACCAGCTAGCTTTTCGGATACGTGTGTGGCGTTAATATGAGGGACCCATTTTATATACATGTACGCCATAGTTATCTGCCTACCGCCTGTACGGTAGTCTATCAGGTGAAAACACGAATATAACATATTTAGATGATACGGTGAATAATTGACAGTAGATCTACCTTTAGATAGATACTGTTAAAATACGTGCAAAGAAAAAAGAACAATATAATCAGGTCGCTTACATGAAACAGTATAGGTCTACTTTAATGTACAGTCATGAATACTGTCATCTAAAACCTGCACAAAAAGGTCAGAACTTAAGCCAAGATTTCAGTTGCGTTACCAAACACTAAAAGTAGGCCATACATAAAGGATCATTATAAAGCACTAACGCGAAAGGAAACTCCTTATACCTGAACGCACGGAATTCACCATGTGACGCTTCAACAGTCACAACGCTGCTGATGTTTTCAGTCACGAACAAATATATAGAAAAACATGACACGTAGGACACCGCTGGCGTGGAGACAGTTTTAGTATACATACTGGTACATTTTTCACTGTACGGTATAAGCCCTAGGACAAATATACAGGTACCAACAAATTCTACGACCATGGCCATAATAAGACAAGAGGCAGTCTATCAAATTGGCAAATTTTGAGATTACCTGAGCAATATGTGAATCACTGCTCAATCACGTGATCAGAACCTCATTATGAATGTGTGGGATATCCTCAGAAATTGATAACTGCATGAGGGAAAACCCTGCAAACAAAATTGATCTATACTATTTTTGCGCAGTATGTGGAACGCCATTACTGCACATAGAGAACATTTTGACTCCACGCACAGACGCGTCAGGTGCGTCCTCCAAATTATTTAATATTTAGGATACTGTACAAAATACTAAAATGTGGCTTTGATTTTTTTTATACTAAGTTTTGCCTATTCATTGGTTGTACAACCAGTAAATTTTTGTGACAATACTTTCTTTCAAAAGTTGAATAAATAACATTGGTTTATAATATGACTTTTTTTGCTTGCTTTTTTGGGATATCGATGATTCTTGCGCCACGTTTTTGAAGTTTGCGTATATCTTCTTGTTTCACGCAGCTGTTCCAAATAATGAAGCAGTAAGCCGAATGAGATAGTATGTGTTTTACCATGTGGGATGTGTTTAATTTAGATAAAATAGCCAATTAATATACTATTAATTCTTATGTCAAGTTTAAACAGTCATTCCAGCTTAGATTTTTATTTATATGCACTACAATGTTTCTCTAAATGCACATTTTCTAAAACGTCCTCATTGAACAAAACTTTCAGTGAGCTTCCAGTTTTTGGTAGTTTTGCACCTTCCTTTCTGGTTGTGATAAGCGCTGCTTTTGTTTTTGTTTTGCCGATTTAACCCTAAGCACCTTGAAACTACCCTGAGTGTCAGAGCAACGTAAAAGCTAGCTTGTTAAATATATACCTTGTGATGGAGTCGCTTTGTTGATATGGGTTATATATGAAATCAAGATCGAGCTGGCAATACCGGAATCTAGAACCTAGGGTACTTGAAACATGTTCGATGCTGCTATTCAATTTGCTGTTTAGTTCAGGTCCCTACAGTTTGGTCAGTGACACTGAGTTATTGTACAGTCATCAGCATACAAAGCAATTTATCCATTAATATCCAATAGGAACGGATTGTACCGGTACATGTACCCGGTACAAACCAAAGTTCTTATCGTTGTATATTGCGTTTCAGAGAAAGTGAGTCCGGATGGAGGCCGCAGTGTGGCGATATATACGGTGCATCCGGGCACTGTGGAGAGTCATATGGCTCTATATATTATGTCATACCTTCTACCGGATTTTCCCGGATCGCAACGAGCAGCGGATCCGAAAGTTGATAGCGTCCACTGGACAACCTGTCACGGAGGAGAAGGTTCGCTGTCACATGGAGTCACAAGGTACGGTTATGTCAATATACATCGTATCTTAGCCATCAGGGACTTAACAAATTAAGATGCAATGTTTCCCTCCACTGAAACGTTTCAGTTGTCAGTATAGTAAATTTTGGCAATTAAAAGTAACTTCTCAATGAATATTTCAGGGGATTGTG